GCAGTTTTCTTGGCAAGATCTTTGGAAGTGACGATCTTTGGAAGTGACGTACTGCCTCCTTCCTAGGGCTGAAACCGCGGGACTAGCCCAAGGCTCCCCAGCTGGCTTCGTGCCTAAGGCGGGACTGGAACTCAGTGTCTCCTGGGTTCTAGCCAGATGCCTTAACCACTACACCAAACCGGCTCTTGTTTTGTCTAGTGTTCATAAATTCTGTTGTACACCATCCTATTTTTTTTTAGGTTACTGGTGCTGCTCTTCCAGTCTGAATTAACGAAGACATGCAGAGAGCTCCGTCAACACCGTGTTCAGCTGAGAACCATTAGTGGCGCAATACCGGCTCCACCCGCATCGCGCGTCAAAAGTGAACTTGGAAAGGGTTTAAACAGAGGTCTAGGGCAGAAAACTGCCCTTCCGAAGGCTCTTCTAGTTACCAGGGCCTCCGACACCTACGCATCTGCAACACATAAAGCCCTGACTACACCCACGATTGAATCGCGGACCTCACGGGGCAACGCAGTGCTCTGGAACCCTCGGGGCGATAAGGCGTCATCCCAAAGAAGACAGCGCTGCTGGGAAGAGTTGAATACAGCTGTTAATACCTTCTTTGGCCCCAAGTCCAAAATGCTGCACGCGTCTCCCCTGCAGCGCCATTTCCCCTAACTGGAAGGAAAAGACGCTTATCCCGAGGAGAAAGCAGGAGGTTAAATTCGGATTTCTAAGGAAAATAAAGCAAACTAGACAAGGCCAACCAAACGCAGACCACTATTGTTTCTGCCTCCTTCTCCCTCGTGCGCCATTTCCTTTATGCCTCCTTTTACCCAATCCCGCCCTAAATCGCGAACTCAACTAAAGCCAGAGAACGGCCGGGCCCGCACTCCACGCCATGCCACCGACAAGGTAAGTGCACGCCGCTGAGCGTCAAGCTAGCTAAATTTTTAAGTAGAGCTAGCGGATTTGAAAAGAAAACGCTTTAAGAAGCCAAATAAAAAGCAAACGCCGTGCTAGAGGTCTCATTTTCAAACGAGAGAAAACAGCGAATACCGACAAGGGAAGGCTTATACAACACGGAGCCTAACAGCCAAAAGAAGAAAGCTCACCACCGTCTCGCCGAGAAAAAGCAAGTCCGCCACACCCGGAGGTCTCGGGTCGGAAAACAACTATTATATGGAATCTGGAGAGGCGGGGCCAACCCTGTTAATTTTCATTGGCCAATTACAGCTTTACCATCCCTGATTGGCTGCAGGTCATCGAGGCCGATGACTGACTAGAATGAGAAGTGACTCCTTTGCTTTTAATAAACGTGTGAGTCATGGGGGGGATATTTGGGAGATCAATTACAAAGACCGAGGCGACTACGTAATCATAGGAATATCGGCTGGGGGGAGGCATCTTTCAATACATTTTAACTGCTTTATTCCATGCGGTGCATGCACGACAGTTAGAGTTACAGCAATAGGAATTGGAGCCCAAGATCCTTGCTCGTTTGTGCAGCGCTCTCGTAAGGCACCTGGCAATCGCCAATTATTACCTGAAATGCTCTAGCGCCGCTCCGGCTACTCAAGTGCACGAGAAATTTAAAAGGCGCTCCGAATATATAGCAGACTCGGGCCGCGTCCCGAAGGAGGTTTGTCGATAGACTTCAGAGTCTCTTCAGATGCAGATCTAAACAGAGATGAGCCAATACACCACCATTTTTTCCCAAGATACTTTATTCTGCTTACAATGAATGTGAATTAGACAATGGAAAATGTGAATTTCCAATACTGCTTTAAGTAGGAACATTTTTACCTCAAATATCACAGCATATGCTGCATAAAACTAAAAATGTATAAAAACACTGTTAAAGGAGAGTTTTTAAGTAGCAAAAAGTATGTGTAGCATAGTGTATTTCCATTTTCTATCTTGGATCCGCCTCATGCCAGAAATCACCAACATCATTTAAAGGACCATACAAACTGGGGGAAAGAAGCAGTGTAAAATTGTTAATTAACCTTGACAAATAACATGTTGTGGTATGAGAGCACCATTATGCAAAACAGCAAGTATTGAGAACTATGTTCTTTTTTATTTGGCAATTTGATAATTATTAGCTTTGTATCTCCAATAAATGAACTGCATTTTAATTCTCTTGGAGAGATGAATGCCTGTGTTTACATGGCACAATAATCCATGATTTAACCATAGTTTATTGAATTAATCCAATGGCAGTGTTGGCCTAGCCCAACACTGGGTTCTTCACCTGAGTAGCCAATGAAACACAAGTAATGGAAGCCAGAATCCCTTCTTTTCTTCTGTACAGAAGTAAAGAGGTATGCTTGGGGCAGGTGACACAAATTAAGTACACAGATTTGCAATTTTACAGCATATTTATAGTTTCAGGCAAGGAAGTGAAGGGCATTATTTTGATACACAATTTTATATTCTATATATATATATATGCTTCACATAATGTATAACCATACCTGTAACAGTGCACTCTATTTTATTTCTAAAGGGTTAACTTGCTTTTGTTTTGTAAAGAGAACTGGTTTCTTCCCCCCCCCCTTATCTCTTTGCTGAATGTCCGATTGTCTTCGAATAAGCAATTAGCCGAGTACAAGCTCAATGTTGTACCAAGCTTTTTGCAACAGTTGTGAGGCCCTACATTCCAGAAAAAGATAAGAAGAATCTGGTATGCCATTCCCTTGGTAACCAGAAGGAAAAGTTACATTTAAGTTTACTTTCCTAAGAATCACCTTTCACTTGCTCAGACCATCCCAAAAATCCCTTGTATGGGTATGAGGGGATGTACTATCTGATTATAAAGGCTCTGATGTTTGTTTTGTGAGGTGTGATTTCATCAACATTTCTTGTTAATGTGTTGATTGGGGTCCCCCAGCTGTGTCTTGATCAAAATACATCTGCTATTCATCAGAAGTCTCATCTCAAGTCTTCTTATTGGCTTTTTATTGAAACTTGGGAAATGATTGGGGTCCCCCAGCTGTGTCTTGATCAAAATACATCTGCTATTCATCAGAAGTCTCATCTCAAGTCTTCTTATTGGCTTTTTATTGAAACTTGGGAAATAAAAGTGCCATACAGAAGTTATACAACTTATTGTTGGTTAATGCAAATAAGCAAGTCTCTGTGTAACATCACTAGGGTGATTTTGAGTATCTTTTCATGGGGGGAGTGCACTTCATTATCTGTGCTTTCCACCTCTGGGCTTGATTTTTATTATGCTAATGATGAGCTTTCATGACCCCAGTACTTTCCAGCTCTTCTGCCTACATGATTCAACTACTTAGTTTTAGCTCTTTGTATTCTGATGGAGTGGTAAATGTTCTCAAAGCTACTCCATCAGTAGTGTTTACTCAATGCACACTGAACCATATAGTAGCCAAACACATTGTACCCTATCAAGCTTTGGAAACTCAGCCAACATATATACCCTTTGGTATTTCATAGTTAAAGGTATCATTTTGTAGATTCATACCTTATGCTAACTTGGGTCTATTTTAAACTTTTGTCTTTTTATAATCAATTTGTAACCAAATGCATTAATAATCTTGTATTTCCTTGTTGCTTGATTATAAATATACCCTGTTTCCTGTGTATCGGGGTCTTGCGCATGGAATCTTACTGAACACGTCCATATGTTCTTGACCTGGCTTTGCAAACCATGAAGTGTTTAGAGACTGAAAGGTCCTGCTTTAATAGACAAAATGAACCTCATCGTGAAAAGGCTGAGAGAAAACTTGTAAGTCATAAATGGTATGGAACAGAAGTTTCCTCTTACAGATTTTTCTCCAAGAGTTTCAATATCCCTTTTTCATGGATTTTTCCCCCAACATTTAGTGATCACTAAAATTCAGTCCTTGCTGGAATCTCCTTTCTAATTAACTTTTCTTCTTAACAGCATTTTGGCAGTTCCCGTGACAATCCTGAATTCCCACTCATGTTTCTAGCTCCATACCTTCAGTACCATTACAAAGAACAATCTTATATTATACATTTACCTACAATCAAGTCCCACTGAATTCAGTTAAACTTATTTGCCTCCTCCCATATGGCCACTAGGCTCTGTGCCTCTGGTGATTTCTCCAAGTTGCTGGAGAAAGCAGAACCTCATCCAGAAAGTATTTTTTTACTTTAGGTTTGTTTTGATTTGTTTGATCAGGAGAATACTGACCTGATGAAAGACTGTAGGTCTTCCATGAGGTTGATATTCCCATTGGTGAGTAGAACCAGATAAATAAGTATGTATGCATTATCAGAAACAACAGATGGCACCTTTGTGTTAAGTTCATTTTTGTCTCCTTGAAGGACTATTTCAAATATAAAACTACAAGAAGCCAGGGTGGAGCATGATGCTCTTTGGGCCAAAGGAAACTCTCTTGTGCCACCCCTGGAGCTCCTCTCCTCTACAAAAATGGAATGCAGGTGACTGTACGTGGTGAAATAGATGGAGGGACTTCAGGGAACTGGAAAGAAGGGAGTACGATTAACAGTATATGTATATGTATGGAATTATAATTGTCATATGGACTTACTTAGCAATTCTGTTCAGGACATAAGCATTTTTAATATAAGGAATTACTAATTTGGAAGGAACAGTATTCCAGTTATGGAAATATTAAGACGGAATAGTTATATGATGGAATTATATAAATGTTATATATCGCTGACTAAGCTAGCTTGGAATTAATGACCTGGGAATGGAGAAATGATAGTTTCAACATCAATGAACAATATTAGTTTCTTTTTGCCCACAAATTCATTTAGATGGATGCTACTAAGATTGCTTGGTATCTGTATCCCATTTTCCCTTTTGTGCAATAAAACACAGAGTATGACCAGGTATCTACTACAAATCCTAACTATATGACAGTTTTAAGGATCTTAAGTCCTTAAAGCTGTACTGTAATTAGGATTCGTGGCAGATACTTGATGATTTCAGGTTAAAATGAGCTAAATTTTAAATTTAAATTTAAATTTAAATGAGTTAAAATGAATTAAAATGTCAGGAACAGAATGGAATTAAGGCTGCAATCCTATATTCAATGGGGATTTTCTTCCAAATATGTAGGAACCGTATTTCAATATACCATGTGGCTACAGCCAGTCTCCACTCTAAAGTGATTTCTCATTTTCATAAAGTCAACATGATAAAACTAATTTTATTTGTAATAATTGGGAAAACTTAAATTTATACTGAAAAGACTAAAGAATTTGCAATTATGTGTTAACATGTTTTTGTGACTTCAAATCAGGCCATAAATGAGGATGAAAAAACAATCCTATGTGACTAGGAAATAAATAATTTCAAAATGAGTTTTAGTGGATAATTTCCACAACATCCAGTTTCCAGATATAAAATTAAACAGTTTTTAAAGTTATACTATTTGCCTGAATTAGCTCCCATAATTGATTGGGACACTGATAGAGATCACATCCATTTCCAGTTAATCTCAGTTTTTTCTTAAGGGAAAGGACACTGATATTTCAGGTGTGGCACCAGCTCTTCTTAATCAGAAATCTTTCTGCCATTGTTACATTGCTGACTTTTTAAAGACATTTCCACTTTTACATGCTTAACATCATAAAATGTGCATGACTTTTGTACTAATATAACAATACAGGATATAAATCAAGGTGCCTTGGAAATTGTAGCATAACAAGGTACTGTTCATCCTGGTACCTCCAGTTGGGTTGGACCAATTCGTGTCATTGTCAACCAGCATAAGAATTACAGGAGTGGAAGCCCAAGATATCTGAAAGGCACTAGGTTGGGGAAGGCTGTATTAAAATTCCTAGATCTGTTTCACTGAACTACATTCTCCATAGTTCACCTGAATCAGTATATTGATATGCCAAGGATCGAGTGGGATCAAAAAGAGCTAAGCAAAGGAGAGAAGAATTGCCTAGTTGCATTATTGGGAATTGAGAGAATATGTGGAGATCTAGGGACCATAACTATATGAAGCATATAATTTAAATTATTTATGAATATAAAAACATTTCAAGGATATTTTAGCATAATATAGTGACTAGATTCACACAACGACCTGTGAAATTTACCTACTATATTTTTAGCCTTGTGAATCTGGCAAATTCTGCCCATGCAGTTAGTTTATGGCTCAGTGAATCATGCCAACTATGATTAAGTTAACCAATTTTTTTTTAATCAGAGTTCATAGTTACTGACAAACAGCATGAAAAATACCGTAATTCTATAGGGTTATCATAGTTGGCTGCACACATCCAGATTACCAGTTAATGGCAACACAGTGTCAGTTTTCTATATCTCTTCGCTACCATCACATGATCATCCAGTTTTTTCAGCTCAGATATAGTAGCCCTAAATTGTATGGATCTATAATCAGAAGAAAGTCTGCTAGAGTTCAAGAAAGTTTACTTTAAAGTGCTAGGTAAATAGATTATACCTGTCCATGTTCTTTTGTATTGTCAGTATTATGGGACATTCACTTTCAGCTGATTACCCCTCTTTTATTTAAATTCCCCAGGCATTCCGATAATTTTTACTTGCATTATTTGTTAAATAATCAAGACAGATCTATTTCTTTAAAAGGTTCAAGAAAGTTTACTTTAAAGTGCTAGGTAAATAGATTATACCTGTCCATGTTCTTTTGTATTGTCAGTATTATGGGACATTCACTTTCAGCTGATTACCCCTCTTTTATTTAAATTCCCCAGGCATTCCGATAATTTTTACTTGCATTATTTGTTAAATAATCAAGACAGATCTATTTCTTTAAAAGTTGCAAAATTTTGCCACATAATGTGTAAGCTTCGCCCACAAATGGTTGCTAGTAGTTATTGATGAAAGGGGTAATATTATTATCTGTCTTATTGTATCTATTTTTATTGGTCAATGACCAAAATAAAGATGATGATGATGATAGATTATACCTCTGTATAGTGTTCACTGTGATCAAATAGCCCTATTAAATGTGTAACTAAATTACAATTTATATAAACAGGTGATAATATTTTTCTTGTTGAATGAAAACTTCCACCTGTTAAGTTCTACCTTAAGGACTAAAGAAACAATGGCTGGTTTGCACACTACAGCAGGGTAAAATGTGATTGCTTACTTTGTGGCTTAGGTCATGGTATGAACTCAGCCAGGATAGTTGTACGTGTTCAATGTGTCGTGTAAATCTAAGCAACTGGGTTAAATCAGTACAGACACAAGGACAGTGCTTTTCTTTTTGATTTTTCAGCAAGTTTCCCTATTGTTTTCCAAGATTCAGGGTCACTGTGTTCATATATGGTGCTAGTTTGTTTAACAAGCCCCAATAGTTGGGTTCCTTCAATAGTGTAAGTCATAAAATTTGTTGCAGAAAATCAGATTTCTGTCTCCTTTGGGGTTTCTCTCTCAGTTCTAACTGAATCTGTATACAGACTATATCAATCCCTTCATTTAATTAGTGGGGGAAAGTGAATAATCTTTGTCCATCAGCTTTGCCTTCTTGGGCCATGTTACTTCTCACTAAAATAAGTTACAATAATGTTATAGGCTATTAATCTTAAGATACAAAGCCACAGGATTTATACATATCAAAGCAAAGCCAGGGCTCTCTCAAGAGCGTTTATACATATAGTGTAAGTACAACGCATTGCATACAGTTGTTCCAATACTTTTAATATACCAACAGTTCTAAACATGTGGGGAAATCTGCAAAAGAATGTTAACAATTGGCTGTATACAGTATACTTTTACAATGGCATGCTGTGGCCTATCATAGGAAGGACACTGTTAAGTAATGTTTTTCAGAATTTCTCTATTGGATACAGTGCTCACAGAAAACAATGCAATGAAAAAGGGGAAGGCAAACATTTCTTAGGTTATACTTTTAAATTAAGCTCCACTGATATAAGGATCTGTGAGTAAATGTGCTAAGGATTGGGAAATAAGTGTTGAAACAGCAACGCTGTGTAGTTACTCAGTGTACTGCATATATATGAGTTCTCTGCAGATCAGTTAGCTTAACACCTGGATAACTGGTGGAGATTCTATAACGTTATAAAACAAATAGAAAGACAAATGTGGGAATGGAGGACTATAGACAGTGGGATCATGCAACCATTTATCTTGGTAACCTCTAAAACTTGTTTATAATGAGCTTGAGTTAAAAGTGATTTGTGAAATACAATAGCCATATTTGCTGATAACATGTAAGTGTTGAAGGTGATAAAAAAAAAAATGAGAATCAGCTTTTGTACAAAAGAGTTTAAACAATTTCCTTCCCATGGATACAGATTAACCAAATATTAAATATTAAGGAGTAGGCTCAATTGTCAAAGACCATCAACATGCACTGAGTGAGAATCCTTTTTACAAAACTGGTTTTCCACATTTAAGGATATATTTTCTCTTTTTTTTCTGGCTTAGCTTTAACTCTCTTCTGATCGAAAACAAATGGCTTCTTCAAATAGCTTTAGTTGTTGCAGTAAAAGCGCTCATAGGTCTGGGGAGGATTGGGATATGCAGAGAATATAGTACTTTGAATCTCCATATTACAGCGACATCATCCAAACCACAATCACTGCAGAAATACCAAGGGGAGCTGTATTGATGAGGCTTGGACTCTTATTGCAGAAATCTCTTTGGCAGCAAAGGTGTCTAAAACTGTCCACACTAAACTCCTGGGCTACAACTTCTTTGCTGCATTTTGACATTTTCCAGCACTTGTAAGTTCTCAAATGTACTGTAAACAAAATCAAAATATAAATCAAAATTCTTATAACTGAGATCTATTTTGCTTCTGATGAAATTCAAGCAAGAGATGCATTTTAAATGACCACACTAAGCAAAATCAGCTATTTTGCCACTTATAAATATAACATGGAACATTGATTAAAATGACAGTTTAAAAAACAAATCATTTTCCCTTGCTTTGCATTATCTTCCCTTTGCAATATTTGCCTTACCATATGTAGATTCAGAGAATATCACACTTCTCCTCAGAGAAGTCCATAAATGTTTCTCAAAAGTGCTGCAATCCAGTAGGGGCTGCTGTAGGAAGAAGAGGTCAGAGGCAATTTTCATTGCCAGTTATACCACTTTCCTGACTGTTCTGGAAGGTTTCAAAGTGCTCTGGGCAGATCTTTAGGAAAAAAGAGGAATCAGTAATACAGTAGTAATTTTTTTCTTTCCCCCAACCTTTCTCCAGTAACATCACAAAGATGTCCTGTGTCTTGGTCTGGATCTAAGAAGACTATGATGATCTATGCATTATGATACAAAATCCATAACTGGATAATGCCTCTACTTACTGGAACCACCCAAAATTACTTAATGGTTTACATAATATCTTTTGGTTTTAAAGCAAAAATGTAAAAGTTACTATCTCTGCTGCTCAAGATCAGGAACTCTGCACAAAGTAGATGCCTCTGACTTTAGTGCTTGGCTATATACCTTGACTAATTGCAAGAATGGCATTTTTTACTTCATTATTCATAGATTGAGAGATCCATGAAGAAAATGCTATATGGAGCACTGGCATTATAGGGCTGAGCATGCTTCAGAAAGGATTCAGAAAGACCTCAGACCTCAAATGGCCATAATGCTTCTCTGATATTCATTAAAGCAGCCCGTCTTCTATGTAAGCTTGAAAAAAGTTGCAGCTCTTTTAAGAATTACATTATGAGTCAACTACAACTTCTTCCAAATCAAAATACTCTTACAAATCATTTTGAAGACAAGCACAACCAAAAGGTTTTTTTTTTTTTTTTTTGCATTTTCTGTAATTTATAGTTTAAAACTATTTGTTCCTTTTAGACCACAAATCTATGCTTATAGGTTCTTCTCTTCATAGCTGCTTCAATGAAATTTGACCTCTTGAAAAGCTCGGCAGAAGATTGCTAATTTCACTCACTGTGGAATACTGCAATTCACTTACAGAATTGGACCAATATATCAGGTCAAATGACTGTAACAGGAAGGAAGGAAGGAAGGAAGGAAGGAAGGAAGGAAGGAAGGAAGGAAGGAAGGAAGGAAGGATCCCAGAAAAGGAAAGAATGAGGATCCTTGAATGTCATGATTGAAGCTTTCTTTGAAAGAGGCTAGGCTGGCAAATCTTAAAGGAGAAATAGAAGTGACAAAGGCTAAGAAAGAGCTGATAGAGCAAATCCAAGTTCTATAGTTGGTGCTTTTCCCAATTCCCAATAAAAAAGACCAGAAGTAATTTTGAGTAAGCTTCCAGAAAGTTTTTCTAGCCAAGAACTCTAGGAAGCAGTTCTCAATGAAACTGCTATAGCTAATCCTAGAGAAAAGGTAGCTAGCTGATTCTAAAAAACTACAGTCATGTAGAAAGAGCTATCTTTGTGTGCATGTGACAAACTCCAAAGCTGCCAATCAGGACAGAAGGTACATGAGAAAGGCCTCTAGAGACTGAGCTAAGCTCGGATTGCTGTGATTATGACCCAGCTAAAAGAAAGCTATGTATTGTTTTCAGATGCCTCTCCCCATGGAAGGGAGAGACCATGACACCTATGTCATAGTGACCATGACATTGTGCCTTGCACAAAGATTTTACATAATTTGTTCTTTTTGATTTCCCATGGATTTTTGCAGGTGCTCTTTCTACAGATCTTCACTCTGTTACTGTGTTCATGGGTACTTTTCTATTAGTAACAATTGTTGGCACCACATTTCTGGAGAGACTCAAGCTGTCATTCAGCTCTCAGCAGTTCCCAGAGATAGAAGCAGAGTTGGGGCCTAAGGAATGATACTGAGAAAAGGGTCAGTTGTAGTACTTAGAATCCAAAGCTTTATACAATCCTCTTCAATCCCTGTGCCCACCCTAGTTGAAAAGGTCAAGGAGTGAGGTTCAGCTTTGGGAGATGGGATGACTTGGGGAATGGAAAATTCATACAAAGACAAAATAAGACACTGTAATTTTCAGGAAACCAAGGCGGAGGTCCAAGAATCTGAGCTTCATTGTTGAAACAGGCTAGGTTTCCAAATGCTTCTTTACCACCTTTCTGTAAGGAGATGACTGATTTAGCTAACAATAATTTTGTTAACATTGTAGGAAGACAAACATATTAATTTATGGTAGCAAAAAATCAGGAGTCTAGTAGCACCTTTTCCAACTAGCACATTTTACTGAAAGGCATAAGCTTTCATGAGCTGCAGCTTATGAAAGATTACTGTATGCCTTTTAGTAAAAACGTGTTAGTCGGAAAAAGTGCTACCAGACTCCTACTGTAGTAATTTTGTTAAAAATGAGACAAGGAGCCTGATGGGGCACCAAGGGAAGTGTTTGGGTGCACACAGAAGTTGATTAAGCAATTAAGCAATTTACAAGAGCACTTTTGTCCATTCTTTAGGATAGTTTCCAGCTACTGCAAATTACTCATTTTACTGCCAATGTTCAACAATCATGAGCGTTACAATTTATGATCATTCCTGAAAAAGCATTGTATTATAATCCTTTCGTTTTAGAATTTTCCCATTGGCAGCTGCTCCAAACAAGCCTCCAAGTAGCATTCTGCATTTTCTCAATGTGACAGGACAGCCTGACTTACCAGGATTTGATCACGAACATGTGCTTTTTTCTTAATTGGTCAAAATATCATTTAACAACCTAACTTTTTTTTTTTAAGTTTAAAGGCTTAAAACTAATATGTTAGAATCTGACAGAAAAACATTTACTATACAGTGACAACCTCATACTCACTAATGTGGGAACAAATCACAGCTAACTCAGTAGAGCTTAACTTCTCAGGAGATATGTACAGGAATGCACTACAGAACATACTTGTACCAACTGAGCCCAAAGGTCAGTTTATTCTTGCAGAGCATACATACTCATCCTAATTTGCAAGCAAGCATCTTCTTCATCAGAACAGGTAAGGTTGGTTCTACAGAGAATAGGACTTTGTTCACAGATATAACATCGAAGTGCATAGCCTGAAACATAAAACAGTATTTTATATGCCAGATTTATGTAGCACAACCATTTTACTATTTCACATGTATTATTTCAGTAACTTAACAACAGCCTTGTTTGGTAGACTAAGACTATTATCTGATCAATATTCTTTGTTTAAGTGCATGTGTGCATGGGAGGACTGGCAGAATATTTGCTTCTTAAAGCTGCTTAATATTTGTATCTAAACTGAGATTTGTCCTGAAGAAATTTGCAGCTCAGTTTCCTGGTCACAATTATCCCAACATTCAGTTACAAAGTTTTAGCGAGAGGCAAATTCTGCATCTTACATACAGTACATTATTTACAAGATGTGGTAGTGTCATATTTTTGTATAGCACTTAAATAACAAATAAAATCTCTGCAGGCTTTTATCCAAAAAGCATATTAATGGACTGCAAGAGTGGTAAGTGCTCTTAGAAATGTTATATACTGTTTGCAGTGGGTATCGTCGTCTACTGCTTTTCTACATCCCAATGTGGCTTGGTCCATCCTCTTTACTATAAATGCAGAAACATCACAGCACTTACTAGAATTGCAGGATATGGTTAGAATAATGAACGCTGCTAGGAGAACGCAGTTCATTTTGTCCATGTCTAGAAGTGGAAACCTACGTGAGACCATGAATAGAGAAGGTGGCTTAGATTAAAGGGTAAAAGAAAATCTGATCTGTCAATCCAAGTAAATGAAGCCCATAAAAATCAAAGCCTGAAAAGCCAGTAAGAAGAGAGATTTCTCCCCCACCCCCGATGGGTTTTTAAAAAGGGGGAGCAGACAACTCCTTTTCCCGAGCTGGTAGAAAACCAAGATAGAAGCCTAGCTCATAAAATCTGGGTTGGAGATCAGAGAAATAATGCAACAATCTAGATGCAAGATAGATTTGGTTGTATTTAATACACAGTGACCTAAGCGGATGGGATTTTTCTTTTGCCTGTGTGCACTTGTGTTGTTGGAATGGCTGACCTAATTCAGCCCCTTCAAAACAAACTGTTCACTTCTTTCTTTCTCCTTCTGTTTCTTTCAGCTCCCTTCTAGTTCTTTGACCATGTTTTACATAATAAAACCTGGAATTCTTAATGAATTAGCAATGCTCGTTCTGAGAAAGAGGCTAGACTTTTGCACACGTTTTTCCTGCCCAGTTAACTTACTGATAGAAGAAAGACTGCAACTTGCCTGGAGAGGAATTTCTCTGGAATAAAGTGGGCGGTGGCGGCATTCATGATTAGTCATTCCCCAAGAATACAGCAGGATTGTGCCTGGAGGGTTTAGAGAGCCTTCGTGGGAGCCCGAGGACCCAAACCATGGCATCCCATGCATTATATAGCAAGGCAATATGCTTTGTGGAAGGGATTCCTCCATGCACTGTTTTTGCCCATTAAAATCTATCACCAGAAACCAGACAACCAGAGTTGCCTTTCCCAGTCTGGTGTTTTCCCACAGTTCTCAGTCAGCATAGCCAACAAGCATCCTTTAGTTTGCATGAAGTTACCTATTAATAATTGGTTTTGTCTGTTAGCATAAACATTAAGGCTGCAATGCTACTTAGCTGGGTATAAGACCCATTCAGTTCAATGGGATCTACTTTGGATTAGAACTGCATTGGATTGCACTCTAAGTGGTTTTGACTTCACTGTAGGGTTAGGGAGCACCAGCATGCTCAACAGAACTCAATATGCACAAAGACAAGAATGAATTAAGACACACACACACATCACAATTAAAAATGAATGGAAAAAACAGCCTAACAAGTACTCTGAAGTGTTGGAATTTAATGTAGCTTGGGGAAAAACTACGAAAAAGGGAGGGTAAAGAAGTTGCCATAGCTCCCACTTCTGTGTTTCAGAGCCAATACCAGCAATTGCAATAACCTAGCATCCTGACTGTATGGAAGGTGGGATGTAAACAACTATATATTGGCTTGCAAGGTAATGCTAGAGTAGAGATCCTACCTTGCATAGAATAGCATAAGCATGCCAAAACTGACTGGTAATCTCCTTATCATTAGCAGAAAATGCTACATGTGGCATGGGTATGAGTAAGCTGCTGACCTAATCAACATCTGCTCTATCTTACTGAACTGCTTGCACAATGATTACATACAGGGAAAATTTCTTGTACCTTGCAACAGAATGTGCTTGTACATGAGATCCAAATATTTATTTGCTGAAAATTTCAGTATGCCTCCGCATTCTATTAACAGAGTAGAGGAATTAACAATGGTATTATATTTAGGGTACAATTTAAAGTAGCTAGAACCAGCTAAAGGGCCCCTGAATGCAGGATAAGTGCCCCTCTGCTACTAGAAAGAAGGATCTGCTGCTGGGACACCATTTACATCATCACAGGTGACCCAGTTCATCTGTGGAAACTCTACAAATGGAGATTTCCCCCTAGCAATGTTCTGTGAGCTGTGAGTAGGAAAAAGGAATGTGTTGGGGGCTGCTGAGGATTTTTGTGGTCTTAAGCCTACCTGTTTCCTCTCATTAATTGTAAGGGGAGGGGGTGGATAGAAAGGAAGTTGTCTTGTACTTGCCGTATTCAGTACATCAAGTCAGAATGGCATAATATGGCTCCCCTACAGAATTTTCTTCCAGTCTCTGGAGGAACCATTCATGAATTGCCAGAAAAGTAGAAGTGTCTCTATTTAAAAAGAGGGCACTTATTTACCTCAAAAATTCTGCCCACTAATTTAGGGGCATAGGTACAAATTTAAAAATAATGGTTATAAACTAAGTGGACAATCAGTGGTATAGATCTTACTCTAGTGAAAAAACTAAGGAGACACTGACCTCATTTGGTCACAGTCTGATATCCAGATGTTCAGGGAGTCCTTTTATAGGACTGTAGTACTATACTCTTATTTATAAGCGGGATTCCTTCCTCCACCTTTTCACCAGTCAAATAGCAGATAACTTTGATAGTAGGGCTGTACAGACATGCGTATAATAAGATAAACTGAAGTCCTTTTCATTATTACTTTTAACTGGCCGTGTTCCAGCTTGTCAATAGCCTTCCAAAGTCACCAAATAGTAGATAACTTTGATAGTAGGGCTGTACAGGCATGCACATAATAACATAAGATAAACTGAAGTCCTTTTCATTATTACTTTTAACTGGCTGTGTTCCAGTTTGTCAATAGCCTTCCAAAAGAGCTGTATACATAATTGGACAGAAGTGTTTCATATGGCCTATAATTCTATTAGGAATGGTGGTGGTGGTGGTAGAGATGGTGTCGTGGTGGAGACTTCATTACTCTGCTGACAAGGAAGGGAAAAAACAGGAAGAGTAAGAATATGTTTTTTTAAAGGTATGTTGAGAAGTTAAGTAACCGACTACAAGATGGAACCTCCTCCATTTAGCAATAAGCCTCTGAAGAGAGAACAAACATATTAATTTCTGCATTCCTGCTAGATGTAATTTCAAACCATAACATAAAGAATTATCAAGCCATATTCAGCACCATTTAGGAAGGCAGAAAAATGTAAAGAGGCAAGACCTCCTTCAGAAGAGGACGTTCTGTAGGCCTACTGTCTCTCAGTAGTACACATAGGGCAAAAAGTCAACGCTTCTCTTGGCCAAGACAACAGGAGAGTCCCTAGTTACTTTATATAGGCAGAAAGCAAAAAAAGACTTTAGATGTTAAAGAGTGGATTCAAGAGATCTCTGCCAGTCCTTGAAATGTCCTTATGCTGTAGAAATGGGAAGGTGGAACACCGGCCCAGATTTAATAACGTACTAAAGGACTGGGCTTGCTCTGTATTAATATTCCTCACTGGGTCTTGCAATATGGGTCTTATTTTTTCTCCTTCTTCTTCTTATGATGATGATGATGATGATGATTTAATTGTATGATCATTGCATTCTTGTCTCTTAATTTAACTCATAAAATCATGAACATTTTATATGTGTTTGTGTGTGTAAAACTAAAAGAAGGGTCCCCAAATGCAGCAAGGCTGCAAATTACCTTTGAAGCCTGCTCTCCCAAACCAATCCCAACTAAAGAGCCTCCGGGCAGAAAGAAGGCTAAAGCGTCCCGCTCATCAGAAAACCGGCTAAAATATAACCGTATCCTTCAGCTTCTCCTTCCAGGAGGAGACCAATACCGAAGACAAATAAAGAGGCATTCTTACCCAAACGCGGCAGATGCATTTCTAAAGCAGCTAAAGGCACAAGAGACCCGTTTTTACCGACATAAAATTGGCCTCCGGACCGGGCCTCTGCCCGTTAGCTTTGAGCCCGGCAAATGCAGCTCGGAAGCGTCACACCTAGCCCGGCGCCTATAAAATCGGCCGGCTTCTCCCTCGGAGCGATCCCCTTCCACCTCCACCCGCAGCAGCAAGTGCGCCCTTCAAAACTGCTCTGCGGATGCACCTTCCTACTTGCAACCGGGCTTCGAAAGAGGTTGGCGGCAAGCTCCTTTCGCGACCGAACGAATCGGCCCCGAGGGCCACGCCACCCTGGACCCCACCGGCCCGCTCTCACCCGGACTGCCGCTTCGAAGCCCCGCCGCGCCGCGCCGCTTAGCCGCAATCCTCCCCCTGCGGCAGCTGCTAAATCCTTAACCTGAGCGGCTCCCTTACCTTCTAGGGCGCTGGCAGGCTCCGCCTTCGGCTCCCTCCTGCCGGTCTGCGGCAAAGCAACTGTCAGCCTCGTTTCAGCGGCCAAAAAGCGAAGGGAAGGGGAGGGAAGGGAAGGGGAGGGAAGGGAACTGGCCATCGGTAGAGAATCAGGGAAATCCCCTGTCAGTCTCAGCACTATTTTGGGGCAATCCTCTCAATAAGAAGCTGGAAAGAAGAGAGTCCAACTAACTTTATCAGTCGTTGGACTATTTCTACAACCAGCAAAACGATATTCCACGTGCTTTTAATGTATTCCGGAAATTAGAACAGTGTCATAGTTGGTAACTGGTAACATCAACACCCAACCCTACCTGAAAATTATGTTGATAGATGTATACACTTCTGAATTCAGTGAGATCTTGCATCTGGCTCCTTTGAGAGATTTTTCTTACCTACTTACCCTACAGTACTTAGAAGCTATCCCACCCAACTAGGACAAGGCGGCAAATGACAAACTCAGTATGCACACGTAGAGCCATAATATAAAATTCAAACAAAAGGAAACATGAAATATGCAAGTGGCACCAGGACAAACTAGGGTCTGAACACAAGGAGAGAAGGGGCTATCCTCACTTCCCAGAGTGAGGTCTGGAGGGACCAGGGACTTGTCTTCCTTTTATGACCCTTCTGTCTTTTGCTATCACTTCTTTCATTGTGTTGCTTTCCAGGGATGAAAAGACACAATTGATAGCATGAGAAATCTCCCATCTTCCAGCATTTTAGTTGTGTTTAGGATTACAGCCTTAAAATCCTCTAGTGGCCTGGCAGCTCTGTTTACAGCAAAGGTTAGCCATATGCCTCTGGGAGGGTCTTAAAAGGGAGAGACTCTCTCAAGTCAAACTCAGTTCCTGGTGACCTGGCACTTCCAAGTAACTTACTTGGCAACAATATGCAAGTGATTTGCCCTTTCTGCCTTCTGGGATATTTTTTTCAACTTTCCTGTCTTGGCTACAGCCCTACAGGGGATTTTGTAGTGATATTCTGTCCAAATATTAACCAGTCTGAACCTAGTTTACCTTTTTGGAATCAGCCAGAGCTAGCTAGGTGGGGCCAACTGCAGGGCCTGAGAAGGTCTAGCTGTGAATAATGTCACTATAGCATCATCCCATAGGTAGTTAATCAGAAATAAACTCCACTTTCTTCAATAGGTCCAAGGAAATGTATTTACAATCCTGCAGAGCAAATTAATTACCATATGTCAGGACATGCCAAGGTTCTTCTGCTGTCTGAGGTGAAGGACAATATGGCACTCTTACTCCTATTTCCATGCCTAGCAGTTAACTGCATTATACTCCATCTAAAGGGAGCAGGCTAGTTTGGAGAGCAAACTATAGCATGCACAGCAACACCTTGTTGCCACATCACATCCTCTAGTCATATGTTCTGTTTGTGGCAGCTGTTTTAGACTGCTGAGGGAAGCTTGGCATGCATACATGAATGAGGTATCACACTGTGTGTGCACGCGCACCTTTGAATCAGTGTTGACTCCTGGCAACTACATGCAGTTTCCTTGGTAAGGTTTTTTGGAAGTGGTTGGCCCTTGTCCTCTTCCTAGAGAAAGGAAGAGTAGTTACAGTATGCTCTTGCCTTCTTCCTCGAGAGAGTGACTAACCCAAGGTCACCCAGCTGGCTTTGTGCCCAAGGCAGGACTAGAACTCAGTCTCCCGGTTTCTACCCTGATGCATTAACCACTACACCAATACAACCTAGTTATTCCCCAAATCTGCAGAAGTACAGAAAAGTCTTGTGAAAGTAAAGAAGACATTTGCTTATTTCACTGCTGTTACTGCATCAATAGACCTGTTTCCTTTTCTAGGGAAAAGCAAGAATGAATATGCTCCTGCTGGCTGCTGTGTCATACTTACAAGGATTTTTTGCAGATTAAAATCACTTGTGAAGGGGGCAAATTCCCCATGATCCAATTTACGAGTGGAGACCACACGATCTGCCAAGTTTTTCTGAACAGTGCTGGGGACAGACTACAAGGTGCTGCCCACTGGAGGGTACAAACCACCTTTATATAGCTGAATAATAAACACAGACCAATAATGATGTCAAATGCCAATCATCTTATTTTTGATAACACAGGTTAGATTTTCTGCTTATAGTGAGAAGAGTTAATAAAACAGAAGTTGGCACGAGTCAGCTTTTGTGATAAGTTACTTCCTAGTTTCCATTTAAAAATACAAGTGCTGATTTAAGATAACTTATGAACCAGCATCTACAAATGCCCAAGCAAGCTATTAAGGAGGCTTACTTGTGTTCAGGGGCAGTTGGGTCTAATGGTTGAAGCTCCAGGCTAGAAACCAGGCTAGAAACTGAGTTCTAGTCCCACCTTAGGCATGAAAGCCAGCTGGGTGACTTTGGGCCAGTCACTCGCTCTCAGTCTCCAACATCAGGCTCAGGCAACAAGCTGGTCGCTCAATTCCTGTTGCAGTCAATGGATCAACATTTAGTTGATCTGGAAAAAAAAAGAAAAGAAAAAAAGAAAGCGGACCCTGCACACGTGGGAAAAATGCTGGGATGAAAAAAAAAAAGCTTGAGTTCAGGGGCCTTGGAAGTTTGGAGGTCTTGGCTCAGGAATTTGTTTTACTCCTTCACTTGCATTTGCTCAGAACTGGACTCCACTTGGGCAAGGTCTGGTAGTGACTTGGGCCACATTTTGCAAAGTTACTTAGGATTCTTTTGCCCTTACAGGGCCCTCTGTGGCATCAAATCTGTCACCTACAAGCTGGACCAAAGCAGTGGTACATCCCTTTTAAAGAGGAAATTTCTCAAACCAGTCATTTACAGAGCATGATGTCGTGAAGGTAAAGTGTGATATAAATCTGACCAACAAATAAGCAAACTAACCGCCATCTCCAAATTCTTGGGTAAGGTTTTGGAAAAGGTTGCAGGGCTTCAGTTGCAAAGGAACAGAAGGAAATGAACTCTGGCAGGTTTCAGGCCTCCTTCAAGGGAAGGAAACAGCATTGGTTACTGTGGTGGATCATCTTTCTCACATTCTGGATGAAATGTATCCTGCATGGTCATATTAGATCTTTAGTGGCTTCAGTACCATTAATCATGGTACCCTTCTGGAGCACCTATGAGAATTGGGGGCGGGGAGACACGGTTCTGCAGCAGTCTTCCTTAGCAGGTGGCTTCAGCTGAGGAAAGTATGTGAAGGAAGAATGGTTGAGTTTGTGAATGATCCAGAGGGAGGCAGTGGAGGCCCTCACCCTTATGCTATCCAACATTTACATGAAGCTACCAGGAAAGATCATTTGTTTGGATTCAGGTATCATCCATACAGTATGCTGATGATGCTCAACTATGCTGTGTCAGCCCAGGCTGAGCCAGGGATGTAATCAAAATCCTGACATGGCGCCTGGAGGCTGCAGAGTTTGGATGTATTCAAATAAGCTCAGATTAAATTCTTGCAAGATCGAGTGATGATTTATCAGTGATAGATCTGTCTCTAACCTAATTCCAGCTTTAACTACTGGAATAGCAGGTGGAAGCTATAGCTGGGGGCTTTGCCTAGCTTTGACTGCTGTGTGATAGGATCAGGAAGCCCAAACTATAGAGATTCACACGTCACCTCAATTAAGCTACTGCAGCATACTCTATGTGGGGGTGCCTTAGAAGATAATCTGGAAGTATAGCAGTCCATCTGCTAACAGAAGGTGGCAGTTACAGTACAGCCAGAGAACAGCTATACTATAGTCATGGCAATGGTTGCTGATTTATTTCTGGGTCTAATTCACAGTTCTGGTTGTCACCCTTAAAACCCTATATAGCTTGGCTTCCAGATATCTTGTAACTGTCTCTCCCATCAAGATCTGGCCTATCTTGTGCATTCCTGCAGGACAGAGTAAGAGTCTCCATCCCACGGGAGGTTAAGTAAGACAACATGCCTTCTCTGTAGTTGTCTCCATGCTGCAGAACACCTTGCCCCCGAAATATGGAATGCCCCAAATCTCATTTTTCACTTAAGATCTAGCGGTTCTGTTGAGGATTTGGGGCCTAATCGTATCCAGGCTGCCTTTTAGATAGTTTGCTCCTGCTTTTATTATATAGATTTCCTCATTTTTGTAAAATACCTTGAGTTGCATAGAAATGGACAGTGAAAAAAACCATGTAATAAATTAATCAAGCCATGTCAAGCATATAGCTCCAATGTAAGAACCATATCATCAAATAAAAGCAAGGTAGTATGTTTAATAACATTATTTTGCACCAGAACAGAATATTGAGCTGGATGTGATATAATGGCATCTTGTAAGGCAACATACTTGGAGGAAAGTGTATGACTTCAAGTATTCCTAACCCATATTCTTAATATTTTTTTACATATACTAGCAATAATAGTACAAGCCCATTAAGTCTAAAAGTGTCTTGTACACAAATGAAGCATTAGGCCTCAAGTTATGCGAGAGCATCATAGAAAATACCCTGCTGTAATAATCAATCTTAAACCCTAGGGGTGCTTGTACATACAAACCAATACAGTATTTTGGTACTCTCTCATATTGCCTTTTTGAGTGTGAAAAGAAACTCTAGTATAAGTCTTACATAAGGCTTAACAAAGTCTTTAAAAACCTTAAAGTATAAAATTTTTATACTTTTAAATTTTAAGGGAAAAAAAGTGGCTCTATCACTATGCATGACATAGCCCCATTCATTTTACATGATCACCACTGCCTTCATCTGTACAAAAACATTAAGTGTGTCTTTGGCCATTAAAGGTTTGCTCCTGAAAAAATGGGCCAGAAGCCTAGGGCACAAACAGTTTCCTCCCTCAATTTCCTCAATACATTTTACATTAAGCTTTTAAGTTGTCTTAAGGTTTCATTTTGGCTTCAGCAAATAGAAGAATGACTAACAACTAATTCAGCTGATACAAAAAAATGTTACGAAGAAATTTCTAATTATTTTGATCCTACACATTTTCGTCTCATTACTCTTTTGAAGTAATTGATAACTCTGGTCCCTTTATACTATATTTCTTTTCCAATTTCTTAGGGAAGCCAACATTTTCCTATCCCCAAATAAAAATAGGCTTTCTTGTAATTCTATGGCACGGCAATGTACTACTTCCATCTACATCAAATATGAAACTGAGGTCTGTACAGATTCCCGAGTATTAAGGGTTTAACATTCAGTCCTATTATGTGTCTATGCAAAAGCTTTACTGAAGTCAATGGGATTAACTTCCAGGTAAATATAAATAATTGCAGCTTAAAAGTATGTTTCCACTATTTCACTTTTCTAGTACCTTTTCCGTATTTTTAAATGGCACGATGCATTTCAACTACCCAATAACTATGCACACAATTCTTGATGCAGATTCTCAGCTATGACTATTTCTCAAATGGTTTGCTTTTCGAAATTATAAAATCCATATATCATTCAGGAAAGACAATAGGTTTATCTTTAAATCAAAATTCGAATCACTTATCACAATAAATGGCATTTGAAGGGTGGAAAACAAGCTATTTACATATTTATATTGTATAATAAATGAGGAAATGCAGTAAGCGAGATGGCGCATCCCACATTTCAGGAGGCAAACATTTCATAATCTGGTGCAGCTCAACTAAAGTGAAGAAAGGCTGCAGAAGACCTATATATTATCAGGGAATGAATGCAGGATTAAAAACATGACCAGCTTCTTTCTAATCATTTTAGTTTCTTGCTATATATCTTAATTTAAACACATACAAGAATACCCAATTTAACCTAAAGGTTAGAGATATAAATTCCAAATATTTCATTCACTTATGACAGAGGTAACAATACAAAACTGTTGCAAAAATGGCATGCCTATTATTACTATTTTATTTGCCATTAGAGTTTTATATAAAAAAGAAAACCAAGCACCATTCTACATTTAAATAACTTTTATATTACTAAATGTAAAGCACTCCCAAATGTAAAGTTTTTTGAAATAAAGCTTCCCATGCTACTGCATTTCCATCTTTACCTCACAAATTCATCTTCAAAAACAAATGAAAGATAAAGGAAAATCCTGTTTGTATACCTGATTAGGTACAAGCCAGAACCAGTACCAGCATTCATATTAGTTGCTCCACTGTCAAATATTTTATTTATATATCTATATATCTATATATCTATACACACACACACACACACACACACAGATGTGTGTGTATATTTATATATGCATATGTGTGTGTATACATACACATACACATGTACACTCATCTATACGCAGAACTCCTATTTCAAAAATCTGATCAGGTCTGACGTGGACAACGCCCAGAAGGAATGGGAATGCCTAGAATTCTATGCCTATCTTCATATTCGTCAGTATCTGTTGAATCTTCATCCTCATCCATAGCACAATCATTATGGTTGGTTTCCTAAACACAAGAGAAACAGCAACACAATTCAGATTTTCAGTTTCTTTGCAAAACCAGCCTTAGATAGATAGATAGATAGATAGATAGATAGACAGACAGACAGACAGACAGACAGACAGACAGACAGACAGACAGACATGTATGTATGTATGTATGTATGTATGTATGTATGTATGTATGTATGACTGGCTCAAAGTCACCCAGATGGCTTTGTGCCTAAGGTGAGACAGTCTCCCAGTTTATAGGCTGGTGCCTTCAACCATTACCCCAAACTGACTCTCTAATGTTTATGTTACCATCTCAATAAAAATGCAAAAACAGAATCATAAAGAAGTTAATACATTAACATCTCATTTTTGCTTTCTGTGTTATCCATATACTTTCAACTTGTTTTCACAACTGGCTGGCTAAATATTTGACTAAATTCTCACTACTGCCATATTCTACTTATCAATTAATAAATCTAAATAGAACATTTGTTTTTAACAGATACCCTAAACAAACTGAAATTTACAAAAATGTTGAAGGATGTACTAGAAATCACTATTCAGTTATGTACAATGTTTCACAGTCAATTATATAAAATGCCTAAATCATTGGGCACTGTAACATTGTTAAGTAGAAACAAAACATGGATTCTTGACAGAATAGGATATGAAACTGAATCTAAATCTAGTATTTTTTTTAATCAGCTAATTCAATTTTTGTAGAAGGTCCCATGAGTGTAATATTCACATCATTGTTTTTATTAAAACACTATCTTTTATTGTTTTCCTGGAATTTTCTAAATGCTTTATGAACCCTACCCTGAATAATTTGCGGAGAATGATGTTAGGCAATTTTTTAAACAAAGCACATCAAGATAAGATCTGCTTTTTTTCCATTTACACCATTACAGAGTACCTAAATTAACAGAATATAAACAATAACTGTCACTAGAAATATAGTCCAAAATAATCCTTCTGTCAAAAAAATTTCTTTCTCAGTTACTAATCATATAAATAGCACTGTAATTATATATTAATCCTTTATCTAAAGTTCATCTTGCTGAATTCTAAATATTTTTAAAAGAAATTACATAGCACTTAAAGATTTTCACAGTAATTGTAACAGATCCTCCACTCTGCATGTTTAATACAGATTTAATATCAGAAAGCAAGTTAGATTGTTGAACACCCAATGCAAAGTATACAAGATTATGACTCATTGCTTCTGAAAGTTATGAATTGTATCAAACTATGACCATCCTCTGACACAACGGGGAGGCTGGAGGTAAGTTTGATTAGAGCAATGAAGTCTGTTCATATAGGACATAGCCTTCTTTGATAATTTTTATGCAAAAGGAATACTATTTTAAAAATACAAGTCTACTAGGTTTTTAGGAACCGGATATAAAAATTATTGCCTAAACCCAGTTGCTTCAACTTACCATACGTGCTATGGATACTTTGAATGTTGGGCAAACCATGTGAAATCTAGGAATAGTAACATTAAAAAATCTATCTTTGTAGTATAGACAATGGAATGTATAGTATCCTTCCATGTATCCTGATGTAGTAGCAAATGTAGTACAACTAGTATACTCATAGACTCGACCAGGACTAATTATTGGAAATTCTCCTGCAGAAATAAAAAGATCAGAGAACTTTAGAATTAAGTACACTTAAATTAAAGCCAAATTATATGTTAGGAGTAAATAAGATTTAAAAATGTGATTCAATAGCTCATATTTATTTTGGAAAAGAAAAAGATGTAATGGACCTCTTATGGATCTCCTGGTAGCTATACAACAATCAGAATACTGAAATTTAAATTTAATCTGAATATGGATGTACATGAGTTGATCTAGTGTGAAATAAATTCTGGATTGAGGTACCACAGCTGCTTATGTTTTTTCCTTTAAATTAAATGGCCAATTTAATCAAACTTCTTCATTATTTTGAGCATATCAACCAACCATTTCTTCATGTGGTCAACACTTTGAAACAATATGTCTTACCTACTACTCCAGGACCCTGAACCTCCTCCACATCACCTTTGGCATTTGTTATTCTCCAATACCGGCTATCTAATTGACAAGCCTTCTCTGGAAGTGCATCTTTGGACATCTCAATTCTAATAAATTATACAAAACACTCCTTTTAGAAATGTGTCACTTACATAGCACAGCAGCACATATTGTCCAGAAACATTAATTTGTGGCTCTTGGTGAAAATATTTTTGTAAAGGAAGCAGAACTTAGGCTGTCTACATTACATATCAGCTTGTGAATACAATGCAATGTGAGAAAAGGAATGCATTTAAAAAAAGAAATAACCATTTTTTTGAAAAGGAGAAAGTAAACAGCAGATATTCTGCTTTTCATATATACAGCATCACTTCACATTCCTCCGTGATACAGTAAATAAGTGCTGAGCATGCTTTTTAAAAAAAAGTCTAAAAAGTATCATCTAAGAAAAATATATTAGTGAAATAGCCAGAAGATAGCCATATGTATCCTCTCATTAGTATTCTGTGATAACTGGCTGTGATATCTGTAGAACCATATTACATCATCACATATTACAAGGGCAATAATGCAACGTTTTCCTATGGAGAAATATACAGCAGTTTGACTGTATTGGAAATGGAAGTAAAATGTGTAAGAAATAGTACACTGAGGAAACAAATCTGACACTTGTGGAAACAACTATGTGATTATTATAGGGAAAAAATACTGAATTGGAATGGTTCTAAAAGGTCTATGTTCTACATTGCAAAACAGTCCAAAAAATTGCTTTGGGTTCTCAAGGGAGCCCTGTAGAAATCAGTATTTGCACATTTTTTCTATTATGCTTAAAAACACTTGTACTTTAAATATTTTAAAATGTTGTTAGTGATTAAATAATCATGTAGCAACATACTGTTAATTCAGTAACATGGTTTTACTATTCTTACCTGATTCTGTAAGTGAAGAAGTAATGAGGCGGATGTACAGAACTGAGTTCAGGTAGGAAAGATGTGGACACTGAGACAGTAATATCTCCTGTTTTTGCTACACAGTCTTTTTCATGAACATATCTAGCAAATGAAAAAGTAAAAATTTGTTATCTGACATTTCAAGGAGTAAATAAATATTGAAAGATTAAATTAAAGCCAACATTTCACATTTTAAATAATACATTTTATACTTTAACCAAACCTGTATAAATGCTTCTACTATTTCTACTGTATTCACATCTAAATGCTCTAATGGATACTTCCTCACATCTACTTTTCAGCATTACAAATACTTGTAAATTAAATTAACAGTCCTCATATCATGAAGATGTTAATTAAAACTGAAACTGGAAATTCATGTTTCTAAGAGCAACTATGTATGCCATTCAGAGAGCCAAATTGGTAGCTACTGTAGAATTCCCTAAATTGTATAGCATGCTATTCTCCCTGTACAATTTAAAAAACCCTGCATAATCAGTGGGGCTCCCAACTCATGTTTAATGAGTAACAGCATCACAGCAATGTAGTTTATTATGCTGTGTACAATAATAAAAAAAAATGATAATACCACCACCACAATACCACCATTTCTCCCATTTCTCCACATTCTCCCATTTCTGATGCTGGTAATTTGATCTCCAAAGGCCTTCTAGAAAGCCATGTCTTAACAACTATCCAGAAGGTAATGATAGTAGGAACCGTTCTTGCCAGGGGGTGGGGGTGGCCCAGTAGGGGCAAGCTATTCCAGAGAAGGGGAACTTCTACCAAGAATGACTGCTTCTGTGCCCTTCTTAATGTAGTCAACTTCAGTAGGCATTCACTGTTTGTCCAGATTGGATAGATAGAATCTAGCTGGGAAAACTTTGTTTAGCATAAAACAATACATTAGGAAAACATTTTTCCTAACATTTTTCCTTTTTTTTGCATTAGGGAGAAGTGATAACAAATGGCTTTTTAAAATCTTCATTAGAAAATATTATAATATTCTTTAAAGAACGTTGGAATCATTTTTAAAATAAAGACAGTAAGACACATTTCTCTTAATAGTTTTGCACTTGTTATTAATATCTTTTAGAAGACTATGAGGCTTTGTTTCTGTAATCTAAATCTGTAAACAAAAACCTTTGTTTTCTCATTTGCATTTGCATCATCTAAAATACTATCAATATACACATTTATACAGGTTTCAGTTGGTTTTCCTTAATTGCAATAAGATATAACACTGTATAATGTATTGTAACAGTACTGTACTCTAAACTAAAACTAAATACCTGAAAATCTGGTCTCGGATGATTGGATAGCCACCTGTTATTACATTGTTTACATAGGAGGTGAACCATTCCAAATAGGAATTACCTAAATGTTAAAGAGGGAGAAACAGTTTACAAGGAAAAAAACAGAAGATCAATTGATCAGAAATGCTATAAAACTCAGGTCTACCTCTGGAATAGATAAAGATGTACAACAAGGGCAACTATAAGCAAGTTAAGTATGTGATTAATCTGATACAATATTAATTTATTATTTATAAACATAAACATCAGAATGACACAGTAAAGACTGAATAGCTTGCGCTTTATGTGGAGGTACAGAATCATGAGGCTGTTGAATATCACAGTAAAAGACATCACTGCGGCAGAAAGATGGATTGGAAATTAGTTTCCAAAGGCTTATATAACCTGGACAAAGTTTTAGGATAGGGAATACGTGCTGAGAGTAGTAGCTCCATATAATTTATTTCCTCCCATTGTGTTTAAATAGCTGCAAGCCAACTTTCTCCAATCAGATGAGTTCCACTTATGTTAGACTATAATCTCTCTCATCTGTAGCTGACCCAGTAATTGGCTCATTTACTTAGTAAGAGGGAAGCTGCTATAAACTGAAAGGCACATAGTAATAAATCAGATATGCTGAGAATCTGTTGAGAATAAGCATGTACATGTAGCTCATCATTCTAATTAGCTTCTTCCTTTTACTCCTTCTGAAAATGTTTGCCCATTAGAGTTCCAAAATATATTTACCTGTGATAAACATATCAATTGCAGATGGATTACGGGCCATTTGATCCTTCAAGTAAAAAGAAACAGGTTATTGGTATCCTAAAAATGTATTTTTAAAAGGCACATGTACTATATAGACAGTAATAAGATTTCTGTCAAGATTCTATAGACCTTTAGTCCAGTCCTCTCTAAAAAAAAAAAAAATTACATGCCTTTTGTGCAAACAGATTGTTTCCTACTCACATTTGTAATAATATAGCAAACTAAGCTGGAAAACTTAACTTTGTTGAAATTATATTATCAAGAACATAGTTGGAAAAATAACTAGAAATATCACATGAATTAAAGCCTTTAAATTCATAACTTTTAAAATATTGTTATTCTAGTTTAGGCAAAACAAGATGTCCTGTTAGGATGCAGCCTTTTACACTGAAGTTTCAGTCCTAAAACAGGCAAAAATACTGTATTTTAATTTAGATTATGCTATTGAGTTGTACTATTACATGTAACTTTACACCCATTTTCAGGATTTATAGTTTAAAATACTAATGCAAAATTCAATCAATTACACAGGGAAGAAAATTAAGGCCTTGGTATTATACAGATGGAGAAGTTATATTACAATATATTTGGGAAATGAAAGTTTTGGTTTCAGGAAATGACTGCAAGCTGGAAGATTCCCCTTTTAGGGGAAATAAAACAGGATGTAATGGCAAGCAGATCAGATGTGATTTTCACAATTTAAAAAGAAGTTACTGGAAATTTACCTTGAATAAATTCAAAATATAAAAACATGATAAATAAAACATGTTTTTCTACCATTAAGCAAAACCCTACTGTGTTATCAGGGCTGTAAGAACAATCTGATATGTAAATGACAAGACTGATTTTTATGTGTTACCATAATAAAAAGATGGTATAGTTCGCTTTTTTATTGTACTGCCAAATAATGTATTGCTACAGATAAACCTTTGTCTTGATATTTTTAAAATCAGCAGAGCGGTTTCAATAATCTACAAATTAATTTTTCACACTATTCATATAACCAAACATTTCCAAAAGTATGAACTTTCTTAATAATATACTGAGAAAAAACTATAGCTACATCATTACATTTTAGTGACTTGCGGTCAAATTTGTCAGTCTATTCCTAATTACCATGCAATATTTTATTTCTGCTCATTTCCCACTCACAGGTTCTCATCTAGCAGCTGCTCTGACTGTTGATTCTTGATGCAAAGGTTTTCTTTCAACAGCCTAATTAATTTTCACTTTTCTGACAGCCATTAGAGCCCTTGCTATCATCTCAAACTTGCTTCCTCTCCACCAGTTAGAACTTCTAAACATTCCTGTGACCTTTTGCCAATGATGGAAAGGGGGATCACAGATGAAAAAAAACCCTTAAATATTCTGCACAAACAATCAGATTATGCCTACCATATATTGTATCAATTTCATGAACTGAAGTGGGTGAAGAGCATTATTGCTGTCTAAAGATCTATTTACAAGTTTTTCTTACTGGACATTGGTAGAAGATTTCATAATTATTGCGACCCTCCACGCTTTCCAGAGCCATATACTGACTCAATCCAGTGTGAATGCAAAAGGTTAAGGGAAGGCATTGCTTCAGTCCTAGTCGCTGCTGAAAACCCCCAGCTGCCGTGTCAATGTCCAACAAATCTTCAGAGCGATAGTGATTGGAGAGTGCCATGCTTCCCATCAACCTTTGTATAAAAAAAAGTTTAAAAATATGCTTATAAGAACATTAACATAATTTTAGAAAAAATATTTTAAATATGCATACGCTTGTATATGTAATGAATTACAAAAAAGCAATTACAATTAATTTTAACATCTTACCCTGGGACAACTAGCTTCTGTCCATTATGGATTCGAAATGAACATCGATAATCATCTGGTAATTTGCAACCAATCTGTGCCTCCACAGCATCCAGATCGTCTTCCTGAACACTGTCTGTGATATTGAGAAGTTACAAGTTTTCAGACATGACTTCACACAATATAAACAGGCAACAATCGAAGACCCAATGCTAAACTGCTCAGCAAGTCCCATGGAAGTAGCAATTCTGACAACTGTGTTAGGTTCATCTTCAGAGTTTACTTCTCTAAAATGGATATTCTTCTACATTTCTTATATAATAAAATAGTGTAAAAAACAATAGGGCTGAGCAAAGCGCTTTGTAACCTGTGGGAGCCCAAACAGCATCTCTGTTGAAATTTTTAAAACAGATGCTTCTTAGGTAAGGCTCATATGGAAGTTTCTAAGACTGTCTTTGTGTTCATGTACATGCACTACAGCTTCCCTTCACACTGAAAGAGTTGCAGCTGCATTAATGATTTGAAGAGAAGTGCTTCATTTGTGCTCCTGAACATTGCAGAGCACCTCTTTGGAATGCTTTGCACATTCCTACAAAATAATAACTAGAAGTGAATAAATTATTTTACTTCCAAAACAACTACATGTAGTCCTGGGGTTGCGATGGCAATAGTCTCTTGTTTAGACTATTGCAATGCACTCTGCATGGGGCTACCCCTGAAAAGAATCCAGAAGCTACAGCTGGTTCAAAATGCAGCCGTGCAGGAACTGCATTGAGTGCCAGTTTGCTTCTGGGTCCAGTTCAACGTGTTGGTTATCACCTTTAAAACCCTACATGGCATGGGTCCAGGTTACCTGGGAGACCGTCTCACTCCCCCCGTCCCACCCAGTGAGGCAGAGGAGGCATGTTACGGATCCCATTGGCGAGAGAATGTCAACTGGCGGGTCCTAGGAGGAGCGCCTTCTCTGTCGTTGCCCCTGCCCTATGGAATATTCTCCCCCTAGAGGTAAGGCGGGCCCCTACCCTCCCAGTTTTCTGGAAGGAATTGAAGACCAGGCTCTGCCAACTCACATGGGGTGAGAAGAGATACAACCAACCCTGGGGTGGCTGATGCCTTTGTGAGAAAAATGAATCTTTGGGTGAAAAAGACAAGTTTCTAGAGGCCTCAGATGAATG